ATATCACGCTTTATCTAGTCAGCGGTTCCCAAAAACACATGCCTGTTTTAAATTGGGAAAACTAGCAGTACTCCAGCCCCCAGTATATCATGAGAGGTTTTTGATCTATAAAACTTTTTGTACGGACATACAATTCATATTCAGGCTTTTGTGAATGTGCAAATGCCGCAGAAGTTTAACGAGCATCCGATATAAACTCTATTCACTACGTGCCACTGATTCTGCTGCTTCCCAACCAGTACCAATTTTGGAGATGCTTTGTAATTCAATGAATTCCCCCTTTGTTCATTCGGATTATTCTTTTCTTTCTTTTTCATTTTACTTCCCTTTATTGAATATACACATTCAATTTTCACGAGGCGGGAGGCGGCCATACAACGCACAATGGGGAAGGTCGGGCGATGGTGGAGGGATTCGAACACACATTGCCGGGTGATAATTTAGTGACGTTACCACCGGGCCACCAACGCCCGCGAAACTGGAAATGCAGAAAAATAAATACGTAAAACAGTGAAACTTTATCGATTTCGTAATATTCCTCATTTATTCTCGGCGGTATCTGAAGTTTGATAGGTTGTAATGATAAAATCGGGTTACTTTCCAATGTACCAAAGAAAAAGTTGCCATCTACATTCAACTTTTAAAGCATTTTAACTTTCCGCTGGTTACGTAGGGCAGGTTTTCGAACTCTGCACAATACCATAAGTGTGTCTCACGGATTAGCCCTCATTTAGCAACAAACAAGCTAAAAGCTAATGGACCAATTATGTATGATCAAGCGTTTTTGTATAATTCGTGCTGAATCACTGAGAGCTCGTAGAGTTATTTGACCAGCAAAATGCAATAAAAAATAACCTAAACAGCATACGGATAACTTTGTTTTCCAGTCAAGATGCTTTGGGGAGTCGAAGTAAAAATTAATGATTGTCTGTGCATCAGTGTGCGAATAAAAATAGTATGAGACATAGTTTGTGTACCACGGGTATATATTTATCAATCCTCACTTTATTCATTGAAGCAAACCGACCTTGAAGCAAGAACTCTGACTTGGCGATGGTTATATCGATGGAAATTGATTACTAATTGTTTGAAGGTAGTGTAGGATTTAGTTGGTTCATGTTAGAATTTCGTTGTATAAAGAACAAATCTGGTTGGCGATCGAGTGGGTATTATAGTTGCGTCTGGTCTGTGGGGTCCCGAGATAGATACCCAGTTGGGTCAATGGATTCGCACTGCTGAAATGACCCGATCATATTTTTCAGTTCCTGTTTCATTTATTCTTTACATAAGGAAGTTCAACACGGATTTATATTTGTTATCCCCATG